TAAAGATTCCCTGTTTTATTCCTTAGGTACACCCATCCTGAATACTTTCCCTTCAAATAATCATATTGGTTTTTCAGTTGTTTCTGGGTGAGTTTTACATGGCAAACTTCTTCAAGTTTGGTTGCCACTTGCACCCAAGTATCCTTGCGAAGACTGTCTCCATTTCGACCCACCTTATTGACCTCTTCTATACAAGTCTCTAGAAACCGTTTGGTAAGTTCGTTTGTCCACTTCACACGCACATTCTCATCCATGACTAAAATGAAGCAGAAAAGATAAAACTTTTAAATGTTATATACGGATCAAATGTTCTATATTCTTATGGCAGCTTATATAATACAGCAGCAAAATTGGGAACATAATTTAATATGAATCCATCCAAATTAGTAAGGAAAAAACCAAAAAGAGATGACCTCCAAATCAAGAAACATATCAGGCCTTATACTGTCCTTATTCCATTATACACACACACATATAAACAGAATATGTTTTGATACCACCATTCAACCATGAAACCATATAAACAGAATCTGTTTTGAGCAAGCCATTTGCCAATTAATATAGTATCTATTGATTAACAACCAAGAAAACCTTCAATCGTTAACAGCCCACACACTTTTTTGATACCACTTCCAACATCCTAGATTACCAAGAAGACGAAGAAGTAGAAAGAACAAAAATCAAATCTATAGGGGAACATGGTAGTGTGAAAATTAGGGGTTTTCAGATCTAGGGTTTTTTTTCATCGGTCAATGTTTGGGCTTCAAAGAAAGGCACAAAACATTCAAGCCCAGAATCTCCAAAAATTTTAGATGAACATCAAGGAAGGATTCAAACAGCAAACAAAGCACAAAAAATTCAAGCCCAGAAAACACAACACAGTTTCAAAAATTCAGGTGAACATCAAGCAGCGAACAAAATCGACAAACAAATGCGACAAGCAGCGAACAAAATCGACAAACAAATACAACATAAAGCAACAACAAATTCGACAAACAAACAAGCAGAACTAAACAATCATCACGATGAGACTAGACAGAGGAAAGCAAAAAGAAAAAACTCAAAAAGTAAAGAACAAAGAGACAGAGTTATATGTTTTACCGGAAGAACGACTTTAGATCACAATCCACCGATCTAGAAATCGAGATCCAGCTTTAAATCGATGAAATCGGAGCTGTTCGATCACAATCCAGCTTTTAGTCGAGAACAGCTTTAAATCGATGAAACCGGAGCTTTAGATCACAATCCACCGATCTAGAAATCGAGATCCAGCTTTAAATCGATGAAATCGGAGCTGTTCAATCACAATCCAGCTTTTAGTGTGGTACAGCTTTAAATCGATCAAATCGGAGCTTTAGATCACAATCCAGCTTAGTCTAGAACAACTTTAAATCGATGAAACCGGAAGAACAGCTTTAAATCGATGAAATCGGAGCTGTAGTCGAGAAATCGAGATCCAGAAAGCGGAGCTGTAATCGGAGCTTTAAATCGATAAGTGCTTTTCAGACTTTAGAATCCCTCTAAATTATTCAGACCTTTTGAGAGAACTTTAGCACTTAATTTAAAAAAAAAACAAACGCACTTAATGCCTCAATGTCTGACCGATTCAGACATAAGAGGCAATTAAGTGGTTTTCTTAAAAAAACAAACAGCCCCTAAGAGTTTTTGTCAAATGTTTTATAATATAGTATAGATAAATGATGGTGTTTTACAAAAAAATAAAAAAATAAAAAAATTTATAACATTAAATAATAAAATAAATAAAAAAACAAATTCATTGCATTTTATTTTGATAGGAGGCCCAAAAATACCAAATTGAGTGTGGAAAGGCGCGCATCTAAAACTTTTACGACTTAAACCAAAAGCATAGCCCAAACCCTTTTCCCGCCTCAACGATTCTAATTGAGATGTTGAGGGAAATTGTACCAATATATGCCTCGAAACCCTCATTCCGATCAGAAAATTTTCAGACTTTCCATGAACAAATTGGTTTTAGATCCTCCTCAAGGTTGGTATTTTCTATGATCATTCAATTAGATCATTTATTGTTTTGCATTTGTAGTAATTTTGTAAAAAATGTGCTTTTTAGGGCAGTAGATTGATTTTTCTTCGATTTCGAGAACTTTGAGAAAGGGGATCTGTATCTTTCTTAGGTTTTTCTAGTTGAGTAAGGTTTAATTGAACTATGAGTGGAGAAATACCGTCGGATGGGGATTACAAGCCCCGATCTGCGTTAGGGGATGTAACAAATCAAGTTGGGAAAAGGGGGTTTTCTTTCATTTCCACCTCAGGTGTTAAATCTGGAGATGGTTATAAGAAAGATGAAGGTTTTCAGTTTGCAAAGAAAGAATGTCTAAGAGTAGATAACTTTTCGAAAGAAAACTTCCATAAAGAGATTGCTGGGTGTGTTTTACGGGCTCACTCGTGCAGTGAGATCAACTCGTTGAAGGGGAATGTGGTAAATAGTATATCTAAGATCACGTGTGAAGCCAAGGAACCCTGCACATCAGATGGTCGAAGAAATGCCACCTCTTCTATTGCTGTTAAAGCTGGCAATGCTATGAGTGAGAGTTGTATATCCACCCCAACGATACCCACAAGCAAATCCGATAAACTGGGTGCGCATGTGATAATAGAAACCGAAGAAGATGAAAAAAGTGATTCTGCAGTTGTAGAAAATGCATCAAAAGAGAAGGTCGAAAATAGTTTGGGTATGGATGATGACGCTGGTATTGAAAACTTGGATTCGAGCAAAGATGAGTATCTTGATTGCTCAAGATTGCCCGAGTCACAGGAGTCCAGGTGTGGTCTAGAGAGATGCATTGGACAGAAGGGTGATGGATTCTCAAACATGTGTATGGACTTGATCAAAGCATGTCCATGTTCTTTTTGCACTAAAGGTGATTATGAATTCTTTTGATGAATATTTGTTTAGTTATCGCTACACATGTAAGTAGCAAAATTTTAGCCATTTGATCTAATTCTTCTGTTCTTTTTGTCAAATCAGCTGCTTACATATGGTCAGATCTACACTACCAGGATATCAAAGGCCGAATAGCTGGTGAGTGGGTGTCATTTCCTGCTGATCTTTTGCTTTTTTCAGATGGTTCATCTTTCTTTTCTGTGTATTTACTGTCTTCTTCTGTGCATAGCTATAAAGAAGAGTCAGAAAGAAGCAAGCATTTTGGTCCACCAAAACAGCAGGGATGGCGCAACCGGAAAATATGGGCAAGGAAGTTCTGAAAAATTCTCGAACTTGGAATCTGATCTCACGGGTCAATGGATGTCACTTTTTCTTCATATGGAGGATATATTTGTTCGTGAGGGCAGCCAACTGGTAAGTGAACTCCATTTGCTTCTACTTTTCTGAATTTTATTTTCATGATTTTAGTTGGATAGTCTTATAAATTGCTTATTTGCTGAATTGGGAAACAATTTTTTACTTGTATCTTATAACTTTTTTAGTACTTATATTTTACTGAAGCACAACTCATGGGCCATGTCACACAAGCAACTATGGCAAAAGCATTCTCTGCACTCTTTTTCTTTTTCTGAGAACATAGCCACCAACAAGAAAATCATGAAAACCACTCAAGAATGCTCATATAGTATATATATGAGTTATGGCATTAATTTTTTTATTATAAAATAACTGAAATAATAAATGAAAAAGCTATCCCTTCCATGAAATCGTCCCCCCGCCCCCAAACCCTTTTTCTCCGCGAAACTCTCCCTCTATCCCCCAAACCTGCATAAATCGCTCTGTGAAATCCTCCTCCCACCTCCTCGACTTCATTTCTGCAGCGAACCACGGTGGCGGACCCCACACCCTCCCTGTTTCGTCGATGAAACCCCCTCCCTCCCACGAGGATGGCATCTCATCTTCCACCCCTACGCTGCCCCTCGTGAATTTATGTTTTTGGCTTTCGAAGCAACTTGAAGAACCCAAAGCCCCTGATTTTCGAAGATGAGATGACGATCCAGGTGACTTTCGGGTTTGAATATCCAGGCGATTTTAGTAGCAACTTGAAGAACCCAAACTCGATTCAACTTTGAATATCCAGGCGATTTTTGAAGATGACGATCCATATGGTTTTCAAATATGAAGATCGGGATAGTTTTCAAGATGCATATCCAGAATCAGGTGGGTGCAATGGTGTGTATGAATGTAGGTTTTTCTTCTTGTTATTTAAATTGAAGTTATGATTTTGGGTTTCGTGTTTGTATTTAGATTTGTATGAATGTTTTTAAATGAAAGATTGGATTTTGATTTTGTTATTGATTTTGTGTTTGGGTGTGGTGGTGATGGATAGATGGTGGTGAGGGGCCGTGGTTGTGGGTGGCGGTGGATGGTGTTCTTGATTAGGAAGAAGGTGGGGTAGAAGACCAAAATACTTTTCACGATTGAGACACATGATGCACTTAACGGAGCCCTCTCTTAATGGGCCATTAATATACTTTATGAATTTGAGGAACAAAAATAAAAAAACAGCCATAGACAAGGGACCAAAAATGTAATTCACTCTAACCTCTAAATAAAATATATATTTATCTCGTTTTATTATTTGAAGTGCATGAATTAAATAAATAAATTATTGCAATTTAATACATAAATTCATAACGTACTACAAATTGAAAAAAAATCGTGAAATTAATAATTCTAAAATGTATTCATTAGTTTTAACTTAACTTTTGTTTTTGGTACAAGCTTATTGTATTCTGTTTGATAAGTTTAAGTTTTAAATAAGTATATATAGGGGATTAATATATATTTATATAATTATTGATAAATAGAATATATTTATCTTGTTTTATCACCTGAAATACCTAAAACAGAAACTGGTATTTAAGTAGTAAAAATTGATTTAAAAATAGTTAATGGTGAAAAGTACATTAGACCTACAAACAAGTTATAGGAGGTTTATGCTGTAATGGAGTTTTATTGAGGTTCTTATTTTATTGAATAGCATTGATAATGATAGGAAAAAAAGTGAAAATTTAAGGGTCTTGTTTGTATAACCATTGTGGATGCTTTTAAGTTCTGTTCAGATTTTCTTGAAAAACTCAAAAGAGGGGTGATCGTATTGTAGGAGGTTTATGCTATAATGGAGTTTTATTGAGGTTCTTATTTTGTTGAGATAACATTGATAATGATAGGAAAAAGTGCGGAAATTTAAGGGTCTTGTTTGCATAACCATTGTGGATGCTCTTACGTTCGGATGTTCTTGAAAAAATCAAAAGAGGGCTGATCGTATTGTAGGAGGTTAAAACTATAATGGAGTTTTATTGAGGTTCTTATTTTGTTGAGATAGCATTTATAATGATAGAAAAAAGCACGAAAATTTAAGGGTGTGGATGCTCTTACTTCTGGATTTTCTTGAAAAAATCAAAAGAAGGGTGATCGTAGTACGTACCAGTTGTGAACATCTTGAACTGCTGCCTTACGATTCGTGACGTCCTTATTGTTTGGGAAGTCCCACTTTTAGGAATATTTACATAATCTAACAGTAGAAGACACGACAATCTGAAAACAAAGTTGCAGAACAGTTGAGTTTTTGGTTATTTAGCTAGATAACGAATCATGAGGGAATGTAAGCATATGGTGCCAGTATATCTCTATTACCTATGATCTGAGGCCCTAATTAAGTATATAAAATTAAAGATGTAGATGAAGTACTAAGACAAGTCATAGAGGATCAACTTATCCTTATGAAGCAGGGAGACACTTTTAACATTTTGAGTTTCTCCTTGAATTGGAGATCATAACATAAAATAGATGCAATATGAGCACTCATTGTTCTCCATTTGAAGTTCTGGACATGTATTATTTCATATGGACCAATCTGCAAGAACTAGAGCCAGAAATCAATGTCCAGATTTCAGATCACACCAAATACCAATCAGCAACATCTGTTGTGCCACTAAGGTTTGCCAACAACTAGCTATGGTGGCAATAGGGTGTGTGGTTAGGGTTCATGCGTGGTTGTCGTGCAACGGGGGCTAGGGTTTCACAATAGCTTAGTTTTGCGGATGAGTTTTTAGATGCCCAGACATCTGCAAATATGAAAGTGTATTTATCACAGGTATTAATTAAGGCCCATGAGTAAAAATGTTTTCATAGACTGCTATGGAGGATGTTGTTGCAGTGCATGGAAATCTCTTATATGTGGATGATGGACATGATATTTGTTACCTTTTGTTTCAAGTAACCATGGTATCTAGGCTTACTTGCAAATCACTCCTTTCACATTTTAATTCTAGGCCTACTGTCATAAGTCTCAATAGGGTCATAGATTTCAGAATCTCACTTAGAAACCTGTCAGAAGGTTTTGGATTTTAACATCTGTCATTGTGGTTTTTGGTTGGACCATGTACAATTGAGTAAAATGTCTTATGATCAATCTACTTGCTAAATGCATTTATTTTCTTCCCATTTATAAGATAAATCCAGAATATGCTGAATGATTTTTGAGTAAAATTGTTAAAAAGAAATGTATGTTTTTGAACTTGATATGGCAGGAAAGAAGCTTATCTATACTGAAAGAATTGAGAGATAATTGCAAGACTGATTCACAGAAACAATAGCTCTCTTATTATGCTGGTAAGATGTTCAAGTTCATTCTGGTTTTTAATGTTGACATCCATAGCTTGGCTTTTACTTTTTACCTCTAAGGATGTCTTTGATATTTATAATCATACCTCTCGTATGTATTACTTCTTTCGTTCCAAAATAAATGTCAGTCTCTTTGATTTTGATTGTCCAGTTTAGTGTTTCTGAGATTTAAATCTAATACGATTTTGTCTTACATTATAGTCCCATATTTATGTCATTGTGGTATGGGCTTTCTCGTGAAAAAAAAAATTTAGTCTTTCAGTGTTAATTGATAGATTCAAGGTTACATATTTCTTTTAGTTAATCCTGCTCTCATCTCTTAAGTGAAAGTGAAACACCTCGCAACCAACAAAGCCTTGTTTAATATGTTTCACATATGAAAAGTTATTTAAAAAAAATTAATATATTGTTTCATATGAGAAACAGAAATTTCACATATTAAAAAGTTAATTTGTTGTTCCACAAAGTGAAACAACATTGATACGAAATCATGGTAACAAAAACAATTATTGTTCCATATGAAACCCAATGATTGGCTTGGTTTCACATGGGAAACAAAATAGTTATGATGAAGATGATTAGAGAGAAGGGGATGAAATCAGTTATGACAACTGAAAATGAAATTTTTAAGGAAGAGATCAACCTTGAATTAATATGGTATCGTATGAGATACTTAAGAAAGAATATCATCTCTAAAATATGAATTTGTTAAAAAGACAAAAATGTCCTTGTTTGTAGAGTTTGTAACTTTTGAAAGGTTTTGCACAAGAAGGGAACTATAATACACACACATATATATATATATATAGAGAGAGAGAGAGAGAGAGAGAGAGGGGTTGGTTAATATACAATCCTCGATATTTGTGCAACCAATACAATCAAATCTCAACTGTCTATTTGATTTGATTAATATGTGATTTCATAGAAGTTTTGATTGCTTTTTAATATAAAATATTGATCATGATTAATGAACCATATTCATCTTCCATATATATTCAAATCATAATAAAYGAACTCTYATYATTTCCATAAATATCTCAATTTATTGGGTTGCATTGGTTGTACAAATGCAACGAGTTGTATTTGATACAAACTCTCTCTCTCTCTCTCTCTCTATATATATATATATTGCAGGTTCAAACGAGAATGCTACATATGTAAGAAAACAAGAAAAAAATTGTTAATGTACAAAATTATATATGATTCACACACACACACACACATGTGTGTGTGTGTGTGTATATATATATATATATA